CAGGCACGCACCACCATGCCCGGCTAATTTTTTCTACATATATTTTTAGCTGTCCAATTAATTTCTTTCCATTTTTTGGTAGAGACAGGGTCTCGCTCTTGGTCAGGCTGGTCTCGAACTCCTGAGCTCAGAACGATCCGCCCGCCTCGGCCTCCCAGAGTGCTAGGATTACAGGCGTGAGCCACCGCGCCCGGCCTCAAACCACCTAGATTTTAACAGCTCAGGAAGACTTATATATTCTTGGCAATATTAAGAAGTGATATACACACCCTGGTTAAGTCTTAACATTTCGGAGAAATAATAACAGTGCAGGGGACCAAAGGAAAGGGAGGGATTAAGAAAGGCAGCCAGGTGGAAAAAGAACAGCAGGGTACGAAAATGAGAGATGAGGTGCCACAAACTCCTGCAATCCAAAAAGAAAAAAGGTTTTCAAAAGAATAAAATTCAAACTGGACTCAGACAGTAAATGTCTGAGGACAATGAATTCTATACAAGACTAATCACTTGAGAATGAAGGCAAAGACAGGAGTGACCTCAAGAAATGTTAACTACCCAGACATCTTTTCTGATAAAGTTGCTCAGTTTTGAGATTCATGAAAGCATTGGGTCCCTGCTGGACCACCTATCTACCCCAATACTTTTTTCTAGTAATTTCTCTCCTCTTTCATGTGCTTGTTCCTGCACTGTATTGTGATAGTAGGAAAAAGATATGTGTGCTGAAATTTCTTTTTTCCGTTTTATCACTGTGCTCTCCTAGATTCGAAGCAATTCAGTTTCGTAACTATTGAAGATGGGCATTCCCGTTTTCACAGATGAGGCCTCAGAAGCACAGAAAAATTCAACGTCATGTCTGAGATCCCAGAACTAGTGAGCAGGGATCTGACACTTGGACCCAGTCTGGATCCAGTCAGTGCTCTTAATCACTTGCCTATCCTGAGAACGGTGCTTCTAAAAAGCTTATTCAAGAATCTCATCAATAGACCTTTCAGTGTTACCTTTGCTGCAAATGAAAGAGCTATGTACACTTGAGAATATTTATTGATTATACTTAAAAGTGCATTTCTCCAAGATGTACCCTGTTCCTATCTGTTAAGTTTGTTGAGCGATGGAATGATTCCAGTATTCTATTTATAGCAGAGGCTTTTTATCAGAGCTTTTATTCCCAGTTTCTTTTCTAAGTTTAATGTGTAAGGTACATTGTTTACCAACTTCTCAGAAAAAGTACAATTATATCAAATCATCTGTAAAAGCTAACATTAAGAGCAATGAGATCATTAATACTTTCAATTACCACATATAGTATCTATCAGAAATAAAGGACAGCGGGGGCAAGGGCAACATACGTAATCTAAACATCTGTACCCCCATAATATGCTGAAATAAAAAAAGTAAATGGATGAGAAAAAAAAGGACAGTAGTCTTTGTTGTCTATTATCAGTAATGTTCAGTTACCGTTCACCAAAACTGATTTCTCATTAGACATTTTTACATCAACTGTGATGTATACAAAGGATCCCTAGAATTTTACAATAATCACACAAAACTTCACAAGTAAATTGGGGTTCAGGGAATTAAGAATTTTTGACCCAATACAGTATTTTTCAAAAAGGTGGGGCATGGTGGCTCATGCCTGTAATCCCAGTGCTTTGGGAGGCTGAGGCTGGAGGACTGTTTGAAGCCAGGAGTTTGAGACCTTCTCTCTAGAAAAGAATTTTTAAAAAATGAGCCGTGCATGGTGGCACGTGCCTGTAGTCCTAGCCACTCGGGAGGCTGAGGTAGAAGGACCGTTTGAGCCCAGAGGCTTGAGACTGTCTTGAGTTATAACTGCACCATTGTACTATTGCACCCCTGATTGGGTGACAGAGCAAGACCCTATCTTGAAAAAAGAAAACAACAACAAAAAAAACCTCATGAAGAAGTATAACTCTAACTGTCCAAACTTCAGTGCATAGATGTTTGTGACTGGTCAGCTAGCTACCTTCCATAAATTAAAATGATTCTTTTATGCAGTTAGGAAATTTTAAGTTAATACTACCCTTCATATTTAGAACTTTGTTAAAAATAAAGATAGTACTTTCTTCAGTGCCAAGTAGCCAATGTCTCTTGTTCTGGACATCTAAACTATGCCAAATCAAATAATGCCAATCAGATTCCAAGAAACAAAGTCCAGGGAAAATGTCACTTGTATATTTCCTGCTCACTCAGTTGGGCCAAACAAGCAGCTTCAAGTGGGCTTCCTATTGTCTCACTGTCCCATCTTTCTTAATACCGTGTCCAGAGAAATATATTTAACATTTGCCCCAACACACTTTTTTAAAAATAAGAGCTAATGAAAGGTTTTCCTTCACTAAATACTCCTTGCAGTCACTGTTCAATATAGTTTTCTCCTAAATATCTTTTCAATGCTGGGATTCTAAGAAAAATTTTCTCTCAATTTCATGTTAATATAAAAGGTATCAGGTGACAAATGCTGAGGCAAACTAAAAATTGATTTAGGCCTCCTTGAAATATAAGATGCAATAATGTTTCAGCACAGCTAAAAATTCTGAAGAAACCATTTATTTAACAAGTTTTAGTACCAGATGTACCAGTAACTCATCAAAATTGTTTGTATTGGTATGTGGGAATTGAAATTGTGTGGACTGAGTTATACAGGTGGGAATCATGATAAATACACCTAACTGGAAATTTCCAGATTCAGTAGTGCACGTATGAGTGAAAACGGTACACAGGTACTTTGAATAAACGTATCATAAGGAAGTGGGTAAATTGGGTTTGGTAACATCATGAAAGGTCTTTTCTCTTGAAAATTCCCATCCCAGGAACCCATCCCAATGACATTATCTTCAGGAGGGGAAGCAAAACCCCTATCAGTGTTGTCTCTGCCTCCAATCAATCACAGAATTACATGCAACGTATTTTACTTTAATATGCTGCTTCCTACAGGCTGACTTTGCTTCCATCTACTCCTACCTTTCTTTCTTAAATTTAATAGGGATTCTCATAGGGAAAAAGGCACAAAACTGATTTCTTAATAAAAGAACGCTTGCCCTGATGGGAAAATGTCACCAACAAAATTCAAACAAGGAAAAACTAAAGATGCAAAGCAGCATGTGCCTTTCTCATTTGGTTGTTTCTAACCCTCTGCACTTTAAAAACATTACATTTTTAGAGAAATGTAAACTGTAGTTTACATGTAGTAACATGAAGTTACATCTTCTTCACTAAGAGAGCTGCCCGGTATGTAGATATTTGTGAGACAAATATTACCAAAGTTCCCACCTCGGCATATTTTTCTAAACAGTAAATTTACGAAGTTTCTAACTGAAAAAAAAGCAACCACATCCACACTACAAAAACCCGCATTCGTGAACAGGAACAAGCAAAATAAATAGCTACGTTACACTGATAATTTAAAAGCACCTCCATTATATTCTTAATGTTTAAATTGGTATTAAAAAGGCTGGAAAAATATTAACATTTATATTTTAATAAAGGATAATAAGTCAAATTACAGCCAACTGTTAAAGATTTTTTGGGTTTTTTTTTTTTAATTCTAGGGTACAAAAAAATCAGTTCAGGGTGTTTTTTTCTGGGCAAATGATCCCTCGGTCTTTCCCACAGCAGGCTCCTAAGCAAGTAAGTCTTTCACATTTGCTGCTTGTAATTCCCAAGTGGTCAATATCTAGTATTTTCACTTCTGGGTAAGAGAAAAAGCATTTTGGTCCATTAATTCACCCACTCGCTCCTGGAGGACATTAACCAACTCTGCTATTACAAAGACATGAGTTTCATCAATGTCTTGAATGATGAACTTCTTCCCCAGGGCATTGGACTCATCCAAATACAGCAGAAACTGCTTCATGGCAGGATCACTGTAGAAATAAACACACGATTATAAGACACCTTGTTGTCAAATCATACCATAGAGACTAAAGCAACTAAATTTGAGCATGTAGAATTTTTAGAACGATTTTTAAAGTTCTGAACTGTTACTCAAAATCTCACTTCCTCTCTGCCTCAAGTGTTAACAATATAGAGAGACATGACTTCATTTTAGAACTGTTAGTACAAGTTTAAGAGAAAGAGGCCAATGATAAGGTTTTTAAGAGTAACGTCACTGACAAGTGAAATAATAAAAGTATATTCAAAGCGTTGTAGTTAACAGGGCCTAGAATCACAGCTTCCTAAACTGATTTAAAAAATGAATTTCCTTACTTACCCATGACCATTACATTTAAGAAACCAATAGCTGTTCAATGTCTTGCCAGTGACAAATTAACTTATTAAACCAGTTAAGTAGTCACTCTGAAAAGGCAGGGTATATAGTAAGAGACTCAGATCTGGATTCAACCTCAGCTTTATCACTTATTTGTGTGACCCTGCATATGTACTTAATCTCCTAGAGCCTCTGTTCCCAAGTATAAAAGTGAGCTTACATATTAATAATAGAATTGTTACGGAAATTAAAGAAGATAAATGTTAAAGACAGTGTTTGGCTTGTAGTAGGTACTCAAGTTTTTTTCCTTCCTTAAAATTCTGAATGCTATTAGTCTGGACTATCATTCAGAATCTTTGAAGGGAATCCTAACAAAATAGCTTTGAGAATACTGAACTTGAAAGACTTGGGTGTCTGTAAAGGAGGAGGAGGAGGGAAGAGGAGGATTAGTGGGTGGTCTATGTTGATGATCTGGGATTCATAACTGGGGGTTTCTATGGAAGAGAGAGGGAGAATTTCTGGAAGGGGCAATAAGGAGCATGGTAGATACCTATCCCATTTCCTGGCCCAATGGTACCAGAGATAAAAGAGGAAAAAAGTCACCACTTGATAAAGCTGGAGGAGAAGCAGTGTGCTCAGGAGAAAGCCAGGTTTTATTATAGCAAAAAGGAAAAAGCGGGTGGGGGAAGGAGAAGAGAACGTTCAGAGAAGAGGCTGATGATACAGGGGATGCTGCCGCTGCTGCTACCTCACTATGTTCCAGAGGGTGAGGCGGAAGGATGGGGGGCGCTGGGCGCGTAGCAGGAGGGCAATGAATAGGAGATGGAATGGAAAAAAAAGCAGATGAATAGAGCCATAAGACAATGAGAGTCCATAAGGTAAGAGATGAGGGATGGCTCAGGAGTCTGTGGCTTTTTGGGTAACTGAAAGAGGAAAGGAAGGCCTAAAGACACAATGACAATGAGGATCTCAAGGCAAACAGTGACACGAGATCAAACAGAATGGTAGCAACAGCCAGTGACAATGGGAGACAATGGCGTCTTTTATGAACAGAGAAAACATAATGGCCACAGCCTTAAGCAGATACAGAAAATGATAAAATTCACATTTTCAGTAATTCCCTAATTTTGAAATTTAAATAAAAAATTAAAAAACAATTTTTGTAAAACAGTACACATTATACATTGAGAAATTTCATTGAGGTAAACAATTTATCAATTATTAACGAAGAGCAAAGGCAGAAACAAAAAATTAAAGTGCTTAAAGAGCAATTCCAGAAGGAACTTGGGGGTGATGAAGCAGGTTTAACAGGGTACTTCCCAGATAATATTACAGAAAGGAAAATGAGGAGGCCCAGAGGACAGGGAAACCTAAGTTTCAGCTTCTCTAAAACTATTGTTTCCCTACTCAGACTCTAAAGTAACTTAATTGTTTCCCTAAACTTTTCCTTGCTTATACAAATAAGGGGGGATGCAATAAAAGGAGAACTATTTAAGAGTAGACAGGGGTGATGGCTGGGGGCGGAGCTCCTCCTTTCCCTGCAAACAAGGAACAAGGGAGGACTCACGTGGTGACCTTGGCACCCACTGCGCTCTTGCCCCCTCCAGGCCCCACAAAAAACTCAATATATTCTACAAAAATCACACACTCAGAGGTTTCTTAGAAGGATATACTTTACACAATGAGACAAACAATTGTTTTGTGTTGGCACTTTAAAATAAACTTTGGGTCCAAATGTAACATGGTAATAAGCACAAATAGGACATTATAAAATTGCTGTCCAAATGTGATACATCATCTTGTTAGTGTTTGAGCTCAGTGCATTCAGAGGACACCATCTACTCTCAGTAATTGGCAGCTGCTAAGAGGTATGAAAGGTAGCAAGGGTTAAGTGGCTATGAAGACTAATATCTCTATGAACTTTCTAAACGAAATAAATTTACATCATTTCACTGATATAAAAGCTAAACCACTGAAACCAAGAAGTGTTGTGGGACTCACATTTGTGCTGAATCATCATGCCAGCACTTTCAAAATTTTTGCCATTTGCACACTATCCTTGTTATTTTGGCCATCTCTTAAAATACCTTCATTGCAAATCATGTAATAATTTTCCTTAAAGTGCCTTTAAATCAACTAACTTTTAAGCTTAACTTCATCTGGTAAAAAACCAAGAGTTTGATGTGTTAGTTTCCTTTTTTTCCCCTCAAATAAATTAAACTAGTCATATAAAAAATATTTTTGTGTTCTATTCTCCCCAAAATGTGTGTTCCTCAAATCATCTTGAACACTAATGGTATTCCCCATTCTTAGGGAAATGCTGACAAATGAGATGGCTCAGAAGAATGACTGGTTAGTAAGACACTGAAATATTAATAACTCTAATAGCAACTGCCTCAAATTTTGAAAGGAGATGGAAAGAAGTCAATTTGAGATTGAATTCTCCAGCATGCACTTGAAATGTTGATAATATGTAATGACTTAAAAAGACTATTTAAAAGACACTCAAAGTTAAAGGGACTTTTGTTATGAATGTGGAAGGCCTGAAATATTCTTGTCTGAACATAGGGCTATTCCACTTCCACAATGAGAGTGGCAAGAAAAAAGAATCCAAAAAACAGTGCTTAGGCACTGTTTTGGGTATCTGGGAAACTTCAGTGACACGACCATACAAAGAAGCAAAGGCTGAGAAAAGATTTATAAGTGCTGTAAAAGAATAGAACAATAATTAGACTGGTTTTGTCTCAGTTCTTCTTATTTGCTTCTCATACATACCACAGGGTTAAAAGCCAAAGCCATAAGAACATATATTTCTCCAGATTCTTTTCTATTATGCTATAAACTGATTGGAATTTGCACCTCTGCAACAGATCTTTCTTGCTAAAGTACTCGTCAAACCAACTGTGGTAACTGTCACACCAGAGGTCTGCTCCAGCACCTGGAATTGGACACAAACATACTTTGGGCATATGCTGCTTGCTTCAGGAATTGCTGTGGTTGGCTATATTTGGGAAAGTGCTTGGTGTGACCCTGGCAGTTGATGGTGGATCCCAACAAAGGGGAAGTTTACATCAACCTTGTTTTGACATGAAAACACAAATTTCTAAACATAAAGATTTTTTATTTAGATGTAGATTTTGATATTTGATAAGCCCTTGCTAGGCAAAGTACTTTGGTTTTTCAGTTCACTAAAGCTGGGCCTAAATGGCCATTGCCATAATCTGGTCTATTTGTTTCTTTACTGTAGAATCAAAATTAGTTAAAAGGAACTGATAGACATGGAGTTTAAAACTGGCAGGAAGTTAAGCCAATCTAAGACAGGAGTCATATTAAAAGACGCTGTTCTTGAACTATGCCATACAAACTTGAGAAGTATTTTGCTGCCTGCTGGGATGGAACACATAAAACAGCACTATGTAAACTATTACACATTACCTTGTACAGTGATGGGACTGGAATTTGGAGACAGAATTACTGGGACGGTGGGAGCAGTTTTAGGAAATTCTTGAGTGGATTGCCTCTAAATTCCAGACTTATCAAATTCAATACTCTGATACAACTAAATGCTTCATACAATCCATGGATGTTACAAGGTAATTAATAGACCCATGCCAATACTGTATTAATAACAATGTTTTCCTTGGCATCAAATAAGATATGAGGAAAGCTGAAGGACTTTTCCAGTCATCATCCCAACATCTGCACCTGATTGTGAAGGAGGATCCACCAGCTCTGGCCATACCCTTTATGAATCTGTTATTGTTAGGTCTAAAGTCTTTTTAATGTGGCTACTAACAAATTTAAGACTATGTATGTGAACCACATATTTCTATTGGACAGTGCTGCTCTAAATGTTGTAAGTGTCCTAGGGCTTGGTCTTGCTCCTTGCCAACACAGCAAACAGTACCATTATCCATGCAATCGCTCATATTAAGAGTAAAGAAGGGTAGATAGGAGTATTTTCAGACAAAGGGAGTGTCCACAGGGCAGAGTTCCCAGATGAGACAGAATTACTGATGGGGCAAACAGGCAAGTGAAGACTGAGCAAGATTGATCCAGCAGTTCAGGTTTTAAAACTGGGTGATAACTAAGTCCCATATGTTAGACTCCTCTGCCCATTACAGTTTCTAGCTTCTCCTTTGGAATATGTGCAAAGGAGTTCAAGAAACCTTCCTCAACTAGCTCTCTTGTTTTTCCTTCTCTTTTTAAAAGTCTACTGTTTGTAATGGTGAAGACTTAAGCAAGTTCCTGAACTCTTGTACGTCCTAAATTCTAGTTAAGTCCTGATGGTTTGAGAATACAAGCACTGTTTCCCTAAAGAGGACTAAATCTAACATATATGCTGGCTCTGATCATAATGCCAATTGCATCAATTCAATAAAAAGACTGAAATCTGGCACCATGAAAAAACTAGGCACTAAAATCTGTCCCACATGTTAATTAAATAAAAAAACTGAAGTTTACAAAGCTGAAAGACTTGATTTCATGCAGCTCTTCAAAATAAAATAAATGGACAGGATTTTAGAAAAGGTATATATGTAAATCAAGATTCAACATGTAAAATTAAAACTCACGAAGAATCGAAACTACTAACCATTCTATAAGCACTCCTTTCAAGACGTTGACCATCTTTTCCCACTCAGAATGTGCAGATGACCTCAAGGATGCTAATAAAAAAGATAAGGTGACATACAATTCAAAAGCATCAACTTCAATATACTTTGGGAATTTACCTCTGAAATGAGGCAAAATATTAAATGTCAACGTTAAACAGTTAAATCTCTGAATGACAGAACATTAAAAACACAGATATTCTGATCTTTTAACATAATTAAAATGAATCTACTTAGAATATCAATAATGAGAAAAAAATCTTACTTGCAAACAAATTCTACCCATGAACAATTAATCCTAATGAAGGCAAGCAGCATAACTCCACAGCAGCGTGCCCAACCCAGGTGTAAAACATGTCCATTATTCGAAGGCTCTCTTTTCCCATTCAGGAGAATGATAAAACGTAAGTTCCTGAGAAGCAGGAATCACAGAATGGTAGTTCTGAAAGAGGCCTCAAAAATTACAGACTGAGGCCAACCGCCTCATTTCACAGATGAGGAGACCGGTTGAAGACATTAAGCCATAGCTCCGGTCAAGGGAAGAAAAAAAAAAAGTACAAGCCAGATCTCCAGATTTTGTGTTCCTTCACTAAACGAACCACATCCCCGAAGGCTCCATGCTCGCAGGACACTACCCAGCGTCAGCCAACTTAACCCTCTCACGTCTACACCTGGACGCGGGGCGGGGCGCGCCGTCCCCACGGGAAACCCACGATTGAATTGGTGTGGACAGCTGCCCCTCCCCGCTAGGAAGGGCCCGGAAACGTGCGCGACACTTCCCCGTAACCCAGCACCCGGAGGACGGCTCCTAGGTATTCTCTCCTCCTCCCGTCTTTTCTCCGGACCCTTCCGTCCTCTCCGCACCCCACTTTCCTCAGTCGCCCAGAAGCTCGCCACGCACCTCCGCCCACAGACCCAGCGGCCCCTCGGTGTCGCAGACAGAGTGCGCCTGTGCCTACTACGTCATCGCGCCAGGCACGCACTCGTGGGTGGAGCGTGCGGGAGGGAGGAGGGCGTGGGCCAGGCCGAGGGGGCGGGGTCACGTGCCCGCCGCCGGCGGGTGGAGGGCGCAGGCTGGGAGCCGCCGAGGGAGGTGGGCGCCCCAGCCGACTGGGTCCCCGGTGAGCGGTTGGGGGCGGGCCGAGTCCGCGAGCTGGCAGGTAGGAAGGGGAGGCCGGGCTCGTGGGGGGCGGACGAGGGTGTCGGCGCAGCTGCGCGCGGCGGGGAGTGGGACGCGGGGACCGGGCACGGCTGGGGTGCCCGGCTGAGGGCGCGCGGCCCCGGACCGACCCGCTGATCCGCCGCGGAGAGCGAGGGCCTCTCTGTGGTCCTCGCTAGCCTGACTCTTCTTTCAGGGTCGCTGCCCTTCTCTGGTTGCTGTCGAGTCCCTGAGGGGAGCACCTACCGGTACTTCACTTTGGGCAGTTAGTTTCCGAAAGATAGTGGCAAGGAGTAGGGAACAGCCACAGTCACATCTGAGCCTCCCAGACCACCTCTTGTTGCTCCCTCTCTGACCCGGGAGATGGGCTAGATTGAATGCTAATAGGTCTCTAAACCCAGTAACGGTCATTTTAAAGTGAAAAATTCCAGAAGGTTCTAAAGTTAATCCCTTCCTCAAATTCTGAGCTGTAGTCTAAGAGCACGCACTGTAATTATTTTAACTAGTTGAGATACGAGGTTCTTGCTTTCTGTTCCTTAGGTTAAATTATGCTTCCCTAATTAAATTCATGCTGCTTTTTTATTTCATGTGTTTATGTGATTGCTTAGGAACCCACTTCTTCCATTTATTTCCCTCTTTCTATCCCTGAAATCTTTTCCAACTGGTGGAAATATTGTTGCACTCTCTCCTTAAAATTTGCCTCCAAATACAGTTCTTCCCAAGTGTCTTTTCTTTACTCTTTTTCCTCTTGCATACATTCTTCTGACCATCTTCTCAGTTCCTTCCCTTTGAATGCCACTTTTGAGCGCCAGGTGTTCAGCTCCAGGTGTTGCCTGTGCATTAATGAATGACCTATGAATAGACTAAATGTCACCTCTCAAACTGAACTGGTTTACCTCGCTCATCTTCACTTCAAAACCTGCTTTTCTTCCTGTGTTTCTCCAAATCATCCAGACTTAAAACCTCCATTTATTCACCAAACATTTTTATGTACCTAAAAGGTTCCAGAGCCTTCACACTATTCACGACAGTAATTTCCCGATAAAGACCTAAACATGAAAAGACACATCTGGAAGATAGAAAAAATACAGGAGACTATTTCTCTAGGAAAGATTTCCTTTTTTGTTTGCTTTGTTACGGTAAAATACACATTTACCATTTTAACCATTTTGAGGTTAGTGTTCAGTGACATTCACATTATTATGCAACCATCACTACCTTCCATCTCCAGAACTTTTTATCTCTCGGGAAGGATTTCTTAGGTTACAAAACACCATTGAGGTTGTTATCTCATTACTTCAAACTGAAGATGATGGTGGCTTGAACTGGACAAAGTGGTAGCAGTGAAGATGGAGAAAAGTGGGTGGATTTGGAATGTGTTTTGATAGCAGACAACAAATTTTGCATGGTTTGGATATAGAGTGAGGAGAAAACAAGGACTCAAGGGCAACACCTGAGTTTTTTGCTTGAGCTGTGAGGTAGATCATTTACAATCAAAGACCATTTACCATTTGGCTGATGGTGATGGAGAAAATGAGTAAGAGTTTGGGGAGAAAAAATAAGGAATTTTGTTTTGGACAGCTAAGTTTGAAAGTCCTGTTGGACATCCAAGTGGAATTGTTCAATAGTTGTTGGATACATGAGTCTGGAAAGGTTGTGGCTAAAGGTATTTTGGGATTACTGGCAGATAGACATTTAAAACTATGGTGTGTTAAGATTAGATTCAGCTGTATTACACAGAAAATATAATAATGGCTTAAATATGCATATGATTGCATACGTAGGCAGTCCATGGCTAGTATGGAAGCAGCTCCATGATCATCAGGCTCAAATTCTTCTGTGTTGCTGCTCTGCTATCCTTAGCAGGATACCTCATGGTTAAGATGGCTGCTTTAATTCGAACTGTCACTTGCTCATTCTAGTAAGAGGGAGAAAGGAAGGATGAAGAAAGGCACATACTCTTTTTAAGGACACTTTTCAGAAGTTGCACATGACACATCCATTCATATTCCATTAGCCAGTTCCTAGTCAGTGACCACACTTAAGTATAAGGAAAGAAAGATGATGTCTTTATTCAGGTATCTGGGTGCCCAGCTACAATTCAGGTTTTGTTAATAAGAATGAAAGTGCAAAATGATGGTTTTTTTTTTTTTTTATTAATATACGCTAGATCCTAGGGAGAAATGATGTTTAATTTCAGTGTGGTCTCTTCTTCAACCAGGACAATGAAGCTACCATTATGAAGACCGTAGTCGCCTCCTTGTTGTTAAATTTTTTTTAATTTCTTTTTTTTTTTTTTTAGAGACAGGGTCTCACTCTGTCACCCTGGCTAGAGTGCAGTGGTGCAATCATAGCTCTCTGCAGCCTCAAAATTCTGGGCTCAAGCAATCCTCCTGCCTCAGCCTCCAAAAGTGTCTGGGACTACAGGCGTCTGCCACCATGCCTGACTCATTTTTTAAAAATTTTTTGTAGAATCAGGGTCTCACTGTGTTTGCCAAGCTGGTCTTGAACCCCTGGCTTCAAGCAATCCTTCCGCCTTGGCCTCCCCAAAGTGCTGGGATTGCAGGTGTGAGCCACTGCAGTCAGCCCTTCTTGTTAAATTTAGTGTAATTTTTGAATTTTGTTTTATTTTGTAATGATAATCTTTACCTTTTTACTTTCTGTGTCCTTCTTAGTCTCCTCAGAATTTCATCTTTTTTTGCTGCTTAAAATCAGTGTTTCAGATTTAATGTAATCACAGTCATAATCTCAATGGTTCTTTTAAATAGAAATTGACAAGCTGACTCTAAAATTATGTGGATGTGCCAAGACTTAGAATAGTTCATCTTGAAAAGGTAGAACAAAGCTGGAAAACTTAATACTACCTAGCTTCAAGACTTACTGTAAAACTACAGTAATCCAGATAGTGTAATATTTATGTAAGAATAGGCAGAGCAATGGAATAGAGAGTCTAGAAATAGGTCGCTACCTATATAGTCAGTTGATATCTGAACAAGGAATTAATTCAATGAGGAAAGGAAACTTGTTTCAACAAGTTACACTGATACTATTGAATATTCATATAGAAAAAAAATCATCCTCAACCACTTTCTCGTGCCACACACAAAAATTAACTTGAAATGGATCCTAAATATAAAAGCTAAAAGAAAACTGTCTTTTAGACAAAAATCATAGAAGAATATCTGTAAATTTTATGTAGGCAACAGTTTCTCAGGACACAATGCAGTAACCATAGAAGAAAAAAATTGATAAAAAGACTTTATCAAAATTAAAGCTTCTGTCAAGAGGTACCTTTGGGAAAATGACAAGTCACAGACTCAGAGAAGATGTGTGTGGTATACAGTCATGCTCCCCATAGTGATGTTTTGGTCAATGACAGACCATGTATACCACAGTGGTCCCCTAAGATTATAATGGAGCTGAAAAATTCCTATTATCTGGTAATGTCATAGCTTTCCTAATGTTGTAACACAATGTGTTATTTACATGTTTGTGGTGATAGTGTGAACCTACTGTGCTTCCAATTGTATAAGAGTATAGCACATATAATTATGTACAGTACATAATACTTGATAATAAGTGACTGTGTTACTGGTTTATGTATTACTATACTGATTATTGTTGTTTTACAGTGTATTCGTTCTACTTATAAAAATACTATAAAACAGTAAGCCATGTTATGCCAGCAGCAGCCTTATACAACTCCTGTTTACCATGTCTCTTGATTGCATCATTTCTCTTGTGCTTGATTTACTCTCTTGTTTTGTTAATCATGGCCCCTAAGCATACAAAATCCGTGGCTAATATTGCCAGAAAGAGGCCATGTTGAGTGACTGACCTGAAAATGAAATTAAATTGATTAAGGACTATAAAGGTAGAAAATTAGTGAAGGTTATTGTTCACCAGGCAGGCATGTCCCATTCCACTGTAGCTAAGCTCTTTAAGAGCAAGAACAAAGTGATAAAGCTGTTAAAGGATCTGCTTCATTGAAGCAGTGAGACTAACAAAAATTCAAGGGGCGTATATCAGATATGGAGAAACTTCTAATGGCCTAGATTGAAGACCAGGCACAAAAGAGTATCCGTCTCAGCACCATGATCATGACCAAAGCAAAAAGTTTGCAATATTCAAAGAAGAGCTGGATCTGACTACAATGTAAAATTTACTGCTATCTCTGGGTGGTTTAAACCAGTCAAGAATCATAATTCATAAATCATGTGAAAGTGAGCGGTGAGTCTGTGAATGCTGATATGAAGGCAGCTAAAGAATTTTTGGAAACAAGATAAGCTGATTATGGAGGAAATAACTTTCATTCATAAGGAGGCCAAGTTAATGCCAAGTTTCAAGGCTTTTAAGGACCTGATAATTTTGGGGGGCAGTGTTGCATGTTATGAATTGAAGCCCTTTGTGACCTGGCACTGTGAGAACTCCAGCACTTTCAAGCATATCAGTAAGCACACACTGCCATTGTACTGCAGGAACAATAAGAAGTCATGGATGACCCAGCTTCTGTTCCAAGATGCCCTTCCAAATTGCTCTGTCAACAAAATGAAGTAGGACTGTTTGGAGAATAATATACCTTTCAAGATTTTGCTTATTGTTGTTAATGCTCCCACACCTCCTCCTCGTATTGGTGATCTTCATTCTAATATCAGAATGGTATTTCTCCCTCCAAATACCACTGCTTTGATCCAACCAATGGATCAGGGATTTCTCGCAGCTTTCAAGACCTGCTACCTAAAGACGACCTTTGCCCAGGCTATTGCTCCGACTGAGAAGGCACTGATGG